AGCCTGTTTATGATAAATTGAGACACCTTAATCTTGTCAACTAAGTAGACTTTCCCCATTTAGACTTCATCTTTGCTGACAATTGAGCATCAAAGCTTTTGTTGGTCACAGGTGTTTAACCCCTCCTCTCTCTCCTCCAACCAAATGTTTGCCAAGGCAAGTGCTAATGCTCATCGGAATGGAGCTTTGTCTGCAAAAGTGCCAATAGCATTTATACTGCCAGACTTTTAGCAATATAGCCATGTAGTGCAGACAAAGCCTTACTTCAAGCAGAGCTGCACCAGCATTGGCTCAGGAATCCTATTTGGTTTCAGCGTTTTTTTTCTTTATTTTTGCATTTTGCTTCTAGAGTGGATTGCAGAGTTCACACTAATAGTTTATCTTCCACATGATTGATGACTGGCCTGACTACGATACTGCGAACTCTTCTGCATACACTTCTAGTACATGTCTGAACATTAAGCTTATTTCTGACTTGGTTTTATATATGGTATCATGACAGCATCAAGAAGTGCCTCATACACCAGTTTCATCACTACAATCCCTACATGTTTAGGTTTTCATCTAGAATCAATGCAATCTTTCAAGTTAAGCAACACTGTACTACCCAAAAGTGACTCACTTCCAAAACCATCTGACAAGACTCCACTTCCTGCAATTTTGTGGTACTATGTATAGGCACTCTTGAAAGCATGTTTCCTTGTTTGGGTTACTTACAGGACATGGGTCAGGGTTACAAAAAGTTATTCTGTTTCACATGACATGGCATGACCCTCCTTCCCCATAGCTATGTCATAACCAGCAGGCAAATAGTGATCTATAGTAGTTCAATCAAAATCCATATTTACTTCTTCCACCACAAAAACATGAAGACTAAAAACTGAAAGAGAAAACAATCCAATCTGAACTGAAGATAGATCATTCCCAGAACTTAAATACATTTCTATGTACAAGGCCTTGGAAAGGTAGAAATAAAGTCAGACGAATTGCTACAAATCCCTAGCAGAACCTTGCCACTACTAGACCGTTATGTAAAAACAAAACGGGTAGAACCAAGACAGAAGTCTGACTATATCCAGAACCTGATGAAAATGTAACAATTAGGTCTAATTCTCATTCTGCCTTGTCTACTTCTTAAAGTTTTGCTGCTTTACGTCTACCACCATAGTTAAAACAGTGAACACACATCATGTAGATAGTTATACAGATACAAGAGTGTAGCTGGCATAACTGTTGGAATAATCTTTCCACATAGATCTGACCTAAGGCTGCTTTTCACATTCATACTCAAAAGACTTTTCCAAAGCCAAACTAATTTGCAAATACTTTAAAATTATAGGCTTGCTTCTTGCTTACACTAAAACCAATTTGTAAAGTTCTGGCAGCTTTAAAGAATAAAGCTAAGTTTAAATGTTCTTCAGTTTAAGTATGACAATTCACAAGTCAAATATAGCATCTAGGCTATGTCTAGACTACACAGTTCCTTCAAAAAAGAAGTTTTCAAAATAAGTCACCTGCATCTAGACTGCTGCTGTGTTCTTTCAAAATTAAATCGAAAGAAAGTGGCAGGATTTTTGACAGCGCTAAACCTCATTTTATGAGGAAGAACGCCTTTTTTCGAAAAATCTCTTTCGAAAAAAAAAGTGCTCTTGAACGCAAACAGGGCTTTTTCGAAAGAGCGTCCAGATTGACTGGGTGCTCTCTTTCAAAAAAGTCGATCGCCTTTTCGAAAATGTTGCTGTTGTCTAGATGATCTTTCAAAAGAGGCTTGTAGTCTAGACATACCCCTAAGTGTAGATATTTGTCTCACACATTGATTCGTCCCAGGAGTGGATGAAATATTAATCAATTATCAGGAATTATGATTTCTTTCATTAGCAACAAAGAAAAAGCCCCCAAATATATGTTTGGCTCTAAGAGACTAGAAAGGCTTAAAAATAGCATTGGGATACATAACTTGACACAATCAGAAACAGAGAAGTTGAAATGGGAGCTAAACCTCCCAGATTTGATTAAATCTTATGGGCAGAGGCTTGATATATTGCATCTGCTGTCTGATATAAGAGGTGGCAAGAGAAAGAAAAAACTTCTTGGCTATTAGTTATCCTTTTCTTCATTTCCCAAGAAGTCACCTAACAGTGACCTCTAGCGGCTCAGGGAAGGGAAAGCTAGCCCCAGCACAGAGACTGTGGTGTTTATCCTAGCTGCAATTAATATGAAAGAAAGTCTCCGAAAACCTATCCTGAGGGGATCATTGCTAGGCTACATTTACCTCTGGGACACAGACATGGAATTGTGTCTTACACTTTGACAATGCTCTTCCCCCATTCTTCAGGAGCAAGGGTGATGTGAGGGGGGGAACACTGTGTGGGGGAGGGTCAAAAGGCCAGCACCCAATCCCCCTCCCCTTCCCTCCCTTCCCCTTCCCCAGAGCTGTCCCATCCATTGGGCAGATTGCCCCAGGTGGGTCCCAATGCTCTGGGGAGCCCTCTTAGGACCACGGTGGCCCAGAGCAATAGCAGTGGCCTGGTACCAGGGGTCAGACCCATCCCGGCTCTCACCAGCATGCTCCACTCAGCCGACTCCCAGCTCAATGTCTCTGCTCCCCACTGCCAGTGAGTGGGGGGAAGTGGCCCAACTCATGCTGCCAGCACCAGACTCTTCGCCACTCCCCCCAGCTGCTGGGGGAGCAGTTTGGGGGAGCAGAGGTGGGCCACCGGCAGCAACAGGAAGCCGAGACACAAGGTGGGGAGCTTGGGGTACAGAGCAGTCTAGGGCAACGTCACTCTGCTTCCCCGTTACTGCCAGTGAGTGTGCGGTGGGGGATGAAACCCCTGCTGCTGATGCCCCGCTAGTCCCCTGGGCCGCATTACTCAGAAGAGTGTGGTAAGACGTGGGCCCTTCCCTGGGCTAGTGATGGAGTGGGGAGGAGTCATGTGGTAGGGGTGCCACGTGGCTGGTGCCCCCTTGTGTCCCTCCCCAGCAGTCATCATGGCTCATGAGCTAGAGTTGCCTGTTTATATGGGATGAGACTTGTAAATTTGCCTGAAACAAACAAAAAAAATAGTACAGTAGACTTCTGATAATCTGGCACCTTTGGGACCTAGGTGGTGCCGGATTATCAGATATGCTGTAGTACCAGGAGGTACTATAAGGGGGCATACTCTCAAACCAATCTTCCTCCCCCACCTTATGCTCCGGTCCTGGAGCCGCCGGTAGAGCTGCACGTCTTCCTCCAGGCACTGGGGCACGTGCGCTGAGCAGCCGGCTTTCCAATGAGCTGGCCAGGACACTGTGCGCAGCCCAATCCCCCTCCCCTTCCCTCCCTTCCCCTTCCCCAGAGCCAAATACCTCCCCTTTCTGTTGCCACCCAATCTCACTTCTCTCCCAACCTTATGTCTGGGTCCTGAAGCAGCTGCCTGTGCTCAGCGGCTGGCTGCTAGCACATGCAGGCTGGATGCTGTGCGCGCTGGGGACCGTGAGTGGAACGGCGCAGGCCGTGAGAGCAGCTGACCCAAGCAGTTCCGGGTTCCAGTTGATGCCGGACTATCAGGAGTGCCGGACAACTGGATGCCAGACAATTAAGAGTTTTACTGTAATGCTTACAAAATACACACAGCATGTGCACGCACACACCCCTCCCAGAAAAGGAAGGAATGGAGCATACGAAATATTTCCTACCTGAAAGGTTATTGACTAGTGAGCAGGAAGTTTGACTGTGTGTAAAATGTCCGTCTTGCAGCTATCGGGCCTCCCTTCAGTCATTTCTTTGCATTTAAAAGCCGTGCTGCCGGCTCTTTGGCTGTGCTGCCTGGATGGACAAAAACTCAGCAAACTGCGCTGTTAGAGTCTCTATTAACACACAAAGGAGTACACCGTCTGACCCCATTTTGTGCCACAAATCTATGCAGTTTTAAGCCACGTGTGGAAACTTTACTACACAGTACCACTGTAAGGCCATCAACTGTGGTCACTGTAGCTCGGGGTGAAGAACCTCAGGTCCCAGGGCAAGATGCAGCCCCCAACTTGCCTGGATGTGGCCCCCCAAGGTTCATGGCACTCTTCGCCCCCCTCCTCCTGACTTCCTCTGCTGCCCCACTGCAAGGCTGGAGCACATGAAATCTACTAGGCTGAGCCCCCAAGGCTCTGGGTGTGTGAGGGGAATGTGGTGAGTGTCTGTTGTCTTAGTGAGAGTGGTTTTTTGTTTCTTTTGGGGTGGTTTTGCTTCAATTGTGTGTGGCTCCTGACTAATTTTTCTGTGGGTCAGTAGCCCCCCCCAACCAAAAAAAGGTTCCCCACCTGAGTCTAGCTGATGCAGTAGTCTTGAGTAGACCATGTGTGTTTGATGCTGAAATTATCCTGTGCCTCAGGCATGGTGGTGGAATATCTAGCTACTGTATAAAAAAAATAAAGTGTCCTAATACAGTTTGTATTATTTAAAGCACACTGGTAAATGCAGTATTGTAAATCAGCTTTCTAAAAGGAGTTGAAAAGTTGTGTTTGTTCAGACCTGATTGCACCAACAGACTCTGCACTTCCCTGGAGCTAGGATCATGCAGATGGCAATGTCAGGTCTTAGACCACCCTTAGGAGTCAAAGCCCAACGCCAGATAACTTGTAGAACCTGTATCCACTATGGCTAGAGATCTGAGATAACGAGTAGCTTGTCAGTTTTCTGCTACCACTCTTACTAGTGCTAGTTAACAGTGTTACTCTGACCCAGCCCCATCAATGTTCTTTGATTCATTATCAATAAAGGAAGTGTAACAGCACCACCTGGCATTGTTTGCCAGATCTTGTGTCATTCTGTGGGCCAACAGAGAATGAGACAAAGGTCATTTGTGAACTTATGTCTGGATATCTGATAGCAAAAAGGCTTGTGTTGAATTCTGTATGATCTGTTAGACAAAAATAAAGATCTGAATTACCACACAGTTAGCTTTCATTGCTACAAAATATTTATCAAAACTTCAAAGATTTTAAACAGGACCGATCTTTTGACTAACCTTCACTGTTACATCCATTCTATTGCAAAAAAACCAAACAGATTTGCATTAATTGTACTACAAAATATTTTTATAGGGCAGTGATCCTAATTTACATTCCTGTTCAAAAGGAAATTTACTTTTGCTTATTGTGAATTTTTAACAGAACTGGATACGACAGAACTCATTAGAAACATCAAGTTTTACAGCAAAATTGCTTCATGCACACTTTTCTAACTAGCATCTATCTAGTCATGGTTTATAGTTCAAAGGTTCAAAATGGCTTTATATGCCTTATAATTCACAATTCTGTATTTTAGGTAAAGGAATAATGTTACATTGGTTCTATGTATAAACACACAAACCTATATATTCCTCTTGTGGTTTTTCCTCCCCCCAAGAAGCGTTAAGATGCTTTCTTGAAACCCTTTAAAATAGGATAGATGTTTTCAAATGCCTCATAGATTTCAGAACGCTCTTTTGCACCTAGAAAAACAGTTAAAACAGCCTAATAACTAAGACAATATTAAGATGGCTCATAAGGTTGCATTCATTACTAAGTCAACACCAATAAGTACCAGCATAATAAATAATAAAAGCATTTTCAAAGGCAAGAAAAACCGAGGTTTTATCAGGAGTGATGTTTCTTAATGTTCGGGTCACCACAAAATTCTTCTGGATCAAATAGGTGACCATAGGAGGTTGGTATGTCTTGTTTTAGAATTGCAGTAAGGCCCTGGTTTCAAACACGGGACTTTCTTGAGCCCTTCTGGGCCTGTGGAAAGCCTCAGCTGAGGTATGTTTTTTGTTGTGGGGTGGATGTGTGGGGTGGGGAAAGGCGTTGTAGTTAAGATATCCAAAAAAGTATTCTGAAAGAATCCATGGCATATAAATGGCCAGCATGGACTTCGTGGGACCTTCAGAGGAGATGTTTTAGCTTTCTGTCCTGAATGCCCAGTAAGTTAAGTTCATTACAAGGATTGAAAGTCTCTGGAAAAAGACATGTAATTATTTGCCTTTAAAGTGTCATTTACAACTATATTGGTACATGTGCTGAATAGTGCCAAAGTCTAATAGAAGCACTTTGCCTTTTTAGTCAGTGTGAATAAAGGAAGTTTCCCCAACATGGTAAATGTTCCAGAAAAAGAAAGCACATAATTATTTATCTAGGAATTTTAATGTTTGCCTATAGGCTTGGATTCTAGGTTATTGGCAAGCGCTCACAGCACTTAATTTTAAGTGCCTTGCTGAACAAGGGCCAGTACTAGGACAGACACCTTCCTTTCCCGTCAGCAACTACTACCTTAACAATAAAGAAATGTTTTAATTGAGGAGGGAAAGCATGACCAGGATGTGTTACTTTCAGGGGACTCAATCTTACTGTATCGGACTACATTACTAATAAATGCACTTCTAGTTGTGGTGACTAAAATAGTGTGCTGATGTATTTGATACCTTGACCTAAGTGGAAACACACACACACACACACACACACACACTTGTGGATGCACAAGTTTAGGGATGACGTGCATGTAGGATTTTTTTAGGCATTATGCACAGTCCTGTAGAGCGTTCCAGTAGTTCACAACTATGGCTAACCAGCAGTTTTTGCACCATGCAAGAAACATCAGCTCATCTTACATATCTTACTAGACAGAGAAGTGGTTCTCAAACTTTTCAGCATCACACCCCCTTTTTGATTTTTGAAAAACCCTCATGACCTCCCCCCATTTTGATTTTTGAAAAACCCTCATGCCCCCCCTCCCCAAAAATATAGCAGCACAACTTGTTGAGCCAACCTTCCCCCCCTCCACTACACACTGACCAGGGCAGCAAAACTTGATGGGGGGGAGGGGCTGGGTCGCTTCCCGCGTGCCCCCCCCCCCGTTTGGGAACCCATGAGATAGAGTGTTCAGAGTTACTGCTGTATATGAAGACCCCACTTACCAGTCAATACAACTTTTCCAGACACAAAGATGAGCAAGACAATCCTTGGTTTGACCATTCTATAAATAAGGCCAGGAAATAGTTCTGGTTCATAACTATTTAAGGAAACAAAAAGGGGAGAAGAGTTAGTAGCACGGACAGCTTGGCATTTGATTTTTACTACTAGTGGATTATTAAGCTCCATGAAATATATACTGCTCCTTTATATCAAAAGTATGCTGTAAGTTAGTTAAGCCAATGTTTTTGATTAGCTAGGATTAGATCCCTGATCATGTAGCCCAGTTTTGAGCACCTTTAGCTCCTATTGAACCTTGTAGCTTCTCATCTCATTGCAATCTGTGAAGACAGTTGATGCTCAGCCCTCTTAAGATCTGGGCCATTTACTCAGGAATCTCCTTTTAGTCCCTCACATTTGTAGGCGTTGGCATTATTGTCCCTGAACCGTCCTCAAGATCCCTTCCTTGAGCTACACAGAACACTTACAAATGTAGCCAAAAGGGAGATAACTAAATAGGTCTACAGTACACACAGAGCCTAGACAGCCCAAAATAATGACGTATAGGGCATGAAGCCTAATTCAAACAGATTCAATTTGAATTTTCATTTGTGGCATGCAAACTTCACCCTTTTCCCAATTTCCTGCAGTGACCAATTTTGAATGACTGCACCTTAAGCACGCTAAGTCAGTCACCCAGCCGCAAGGTTACATGTTATTACACTTTAACTTGAACTAGTGCAAGACAGATCATAACATTGTGCTTTTCATGTAGCCTGCTATAGAGTGAGGCAAATATCTAGAGGAGCTGATATATCCCCAGATGACCTCTGCTCATCCCAGAGGTATATGTAGCCCAGTTGAGAATCAGTCTAGACTATCCCTGATGGTGTTTGTAGATTTTTAAGAGGAGCAGGTTAGACGATGGTGATTCCACAATCTCCCTGGGCTATTTTTTTTCCAGAGATTAGCCATCCTGACAGTTAGGAATAGGGATGTTAAATTTAGATTAAATCGAATAGTCAATGGGATTTCCATCAACTATTCAATTAGTCTATAAGGGCACCGCCGCCTTTGAACTGTAGCAAGAGCCCTAGCAGGCTCTTGCTACAGTTCAAAAGCAGAAGTCCAGCAGGGAGCACGGGGCCAGCAGGGGACTGGCCCTGTGCTCCCTGCAGCGCTTGAGCCTTTGAAAGATACAAGAGCCCCAGTGGAGAAGGAGCAAAGAGGCACTCACTCGTGGCTGGAAGATGGGCAGGCAGGGCTGGGGAAGGGGGCAAAGAGGTGTGTAGAGTGGAGGCTGGGGAGGGGCCAAGCGGGACCAGGGCAACCTCCCCAAATAAAAGGAGTCACGTGTCACCCCAGGGTACACTACGGCATTCAATAGCTCACTGGGAAGCAGTACACACCTTACCATACTTGTATGGTAGCTCAGCATTAGGATTTCTCACATCAATTTACATACGACTTCACCCCTAGAACGTTATTTATAATTACCCTGCCCCTAACCCCCAAAATATGAACCTGATGCCTCTCTGCTCACCCCGCCCCCCAGCCCACATACCTACTGAACTGCTGATGTGTTAGAACCAGCCCTTCCAGCCGGATGGGGAACCTCACATCACAGCTGCCCACCATATTCTGTATTTTGAAGTCCAGGAACTTGGCAGGGAACCCAAGCTTCTGCACCACACGGGCGTACTTCCTAGCGGCAAGCCGGGACTGCTCTTCACTGCAGGGAGCAGAGACGGGAATTGGAGTTTGAGGTTTCTAGATTTACAGCCTTCTCCTGAAATCCACCCTCTCCTCCAACGCCTGATTGGCTAGAGTCACATTTTACCTCCCATTGTGTATCTAGCTGAGTTGGCATCCTTAATGTAGAGAGCAGGCCAGACTCAAGATCCTGAATAGGAACAGTGGTGTGGAGGGCAAAAGGGGCAATTGCCCTCAGAACCCAGCAATTCAAAAATAGGGCCCGAGGCTCTCAACTGCCACTACCACTGAAGCAGCAGCAACCGGAGCCCCGGACCTTTAAATTGCTGCCGAAGCACTGTGTGGAGCACTCTGGGTGGCTCTGAAAGACACCAAGCCCCGCCCCTTCCGCTCAAGGCCACGCCCCTTCTAGAAGCACAGAGCCAGGGGCCTGGCAAGTCTGTCGGCCTCCCCCGAATGGCCTTATACTCGAGCAGCTGGACTTTACACGTGGGTGTTTTAAAGTGCCACGAAGATTCTGTTGCAACCAGTTCCTGCAGATCCAGGAATGGGGTAGGAGGTAAAAAGGAAGGCCTTGCATTGGTGCAGCACTAGGTTATCTAATGCCATGGATGTGCACAGCTCCTTATGAACAGCCTCCCACAGGAGTTTACAAAGTTAAACTACAAAAGAGAAAGGGTAGAACTAGGGTGAGAGATTAGCCCTTCTGCAGGGCAAAGTATTCCGGACAATTTTTTTTGGAAAAAAAAAAAAAAGTACAGGCAGTCCCCGGGTTACGTACAAGATAGGGACTGTAGGTTTGTTCTTAAGTTGAATCTGTATGTAAGTCAGAACTGGCGTCAAGATTCACCCACTGTTGAAACTGATCAGCTTCAGCAGCGGCCGAATCTGGACGCCAGTTCCGACTTACATACAGATTCAACTTAAGAACAAACCTACAGTCCCTATCTTGTACGTAACCCGGGGACTGCCTGTAGCTTATTTCAAAAATTGGCACTGTCTACACAGCACTTATTTCAAGATAAATTGCTATTCCAAAACATCCCTTATTCATCATGGAATGAGGTTCATGGGGATGTCGGAATAGCGAGCCCATTATATTTCAGAATAATGGGCACATTCAAAAGCCATGGAATAGCTATTTCGGGATACCTCCAGTATCTAAAAATAGTGCTGCAGTATAGACATACACTTGGCCTAACCCAGTATGATGGTTCTTATGTTTACTGGTAAAATCCATAATGTGGACACAATTATACTGATGTCCCAAGTAACAAGGTTTTAGAATTTTTTGATAAGGGCCAGATTCTTATCTGATATAATTCCAGCACAACAGCTTTGATTTTGGTTGAGCTAAACATGAGCTGAAGATCTGACTCTGCATTAGAAACTCCTGAAGCTTTGCTCTGGCAAAGCCTCAGAAGCGCGGGAACCCGCCCGGTGCCACCAGGGGCACCGGAGCAGCTTACGAACGGGGCTTTCTCGCCCCGGAGCTTGCAGGTAGCAATCCGCTACCTCGACCTCCGGGGCGAGAGCCCCGTTCGTAAGTGCGGATCCGACGTAAGTCGGATCCGCGTAAGTCGGGGACTGCCTGTAGTACAGTCAGCAAGCAAGCGTTTTACAAATCGTGATGGTTTCACTGAATTCTCCATCCATAAAACCAAAACATTTAAACCCAGCAGATCAATTTCTGGTTCTAAGTGACTTGGTTTAGACAGTTCCTTTAATTTTAATCGAAAAAGAATTAGAGGCTCAGAAGCAAAACAGGATGTTGCCTTTGTGGTTTATCCAAATTAACTTATTCACACAGCTCGGGAGGCCTTTCCAATACAGACAGGGCAGTGGGGTGGGGAATTGGTCCTATTATAATTCCATGGTGTCCAAAAAGCTAGCCAAATGTGGCTATTTGGCCGGGTGAGTGTAGCTAATTCTCTATAGCAGTAGCCACTATAGTTGGACACCACGTTATTACATGTTTCCCTAAGAGCAGCATGATGCTTTAAGACAGGCTAATAAATGGCTCATAGGTGCTTTGCACGGTCCCAGGATTTTTGGAACCTAAAATACTCCTATACCACCTCCCGCACTGGAAGGAGGGTATCAAGAGTAAAGTCGAACATGGTACATGGGGTGTATGCTAGAATCATGCAGCAAGACTGGGATCCCATAGGCCCAGCACTGCTGTAACAGCAGGCACGGATAAAACATTCTTTGTTGCAGGCAGACTGTGGCAATTTGCAGGAAAAAAAAACCTAAAGTCTTGTCAGTTTGCTGAAATTCTATTTATGACAATGTATTTTTTAATAAAGGTTAATACTTAACGTGAAGCAAGGGATAGACGACAAACATTTATCACATAGTTTAATCAAGGTTTTATTCTTTTGTAGTAAAAATTGTGTCTGGAATTCCATTCACACATACATTAACCGACTAAAGTAACAGACTAAAAGACTAAAGAACCTAGAAATTCTTCTGGAATTTACAGCTGAGGGTGGGTGGGATAAAAATACAAGGAAAAGGAGGAGCAAGCATTGCAGGGAGGGATGGGAGTGGATTTAAAGAGTCCCTTGCTAGGGATGTGAACATGTAGCTTCGGTTAAGGGATGAGCCTAGGCTCATGGGTTAACCCTCATGGTTACACGCAGCCCCTCCCTCCCTCCCCCACTGCTGCCTCTGTATCAGAGGCAGTAAGGGGGGCAACTGGTGCACATGGGGAACCAGTTTTTAAGCCAGCTCCCTGTGAGTGCCAGCTTCTGCAGCACAGAGGCAGCAGTGCAGGAGGGGAGGGGGAATGGGAACCGTGAGCACTGGCTCCCTCCTCCCCTCCCCCACCTGGGAACTTGTAACTGCTGAAAATTTGAGCAGTTACACATTTACAAAAACAAACACATTTTAACATTCCTATCCCTTGCAGAGCTTGTGTGCATGCAATTCAGATTCCTCCATACAGGAAGAAAAATCAGTGAGCTATTTAAGCCAGTTTCCCCATCTCTATGTTGGAATAGCACAGATGATCTGGCTCAACTGAGATTAGGCAGCACTTCGGGAACCTAATCAAGCACCCCTTGGTGGGTACAGATTTTGGAGGGTGTAAATGATGAGCCAAGTAGAACAAGCACTGCTGCTTCCTGAAGACAGTGGTCCCCTCAGGAAAGACTGAGATAACAGTGGGGGATTTCAGGACATGTACTAGAAAAGGCAAGGATTTCAAACACACACACACACACACACACACACACACACACACACACACACACACACACACACACACACACACACACAATATTTCAGTGCTATGAAGCAGTCTCATCTATACTTGAAAACACCTACTTAGAGAGACAGACAACACCACAAGCTACATCAAGGCTACGCCTGGAATGAGTGGGAAATTGAACTCAGTGATTTTCTATTACTTGCCAATGATTTTTCTATTACTAGCTGCTCAGCTCAATGCTGAACAGCGGTGTGCCATTTAACAAGCCCCTCCCTCCCCCCATTACCATCAGGAGCAATTCCCATTCTTTTTGGTCTTGGGACGTCCCTTTTGTGGGCCTGGTAGGTCATTTCACAGTTTTGTCCCAGAATGCCGTCTGCTGTTAGAGCCAAACCTAGGGGAGAAAACGCCTCCTACCTTTTTGCTCCTGTGCAGACCATTTTGCCCGAACTGAATATAAGGGCTGTTGTTCTTGGTTCTCTGATTCTCATTATCACAGCAGCAAACCTCTGGAGATTAGAGAAGTCAAACAATACTAGTGGGGCCCTGGTTCATGAGTGAGGCTCTGGGTATTACAGTAATACAAATAAGAATACTATCTTGTAACCAAGCTTGGGTCTAGTTGGCATCAAGTAATACAAGCTTTAAGAGTATCAGAGGGGTAGCCATGTTAGTCTGAATCTGCAAAAGCAGCGAGGAGTCCTGTGGCACCTTATAGACTAACTGAAGTGTAGGAGCATAAGCTTTCGTGGGCAAAGACCCACTTTGTCAGATGCATATACATGCATCTGACAAAGTGGGTCTTTGCCCACGAAAGCTTATGCTCCTACACTTCAGTTAGTCTATAAGGTGCCACAGGACTCCTCCAAGCTTTAAGAGGTTTATTAAAACTTTCCCATTTTATCTAAGAGCTTCAAACACTGATCAGAAAACTACAGGGACTGTTATGCTTAATTCTTTGTTGTGGTGCACACTTGGGCCAAGTCTACACTAGGGGGCAATGTTGAACTAAGGCACATAAGTCCAGCTATGTGAACAGCAAAACTGGAATCGACGTACCTTAGTTCCACTTATTGCAGTGTACCCACTGCAAGGGGTCAATGGGAGAAATTCTCCTGTCAACTTCCTTTAGGCCAGGTCAACACTAAAAATGGAAGATTGAATCAAAATACACAATTCCAGCTACTTTAATTACGTAGCTGGAGTCGACATACCTTGGTTCGAGTTTCCCTGCCATTCCCACAGCGTGAGGCCAACAGAAGCAAATGCTCGTTGGCTTGCCTTATTCTTTGCAGAAGTAGGAGTACTGGCCACTGTTGGGGGGTGCCCTCTGAGTTCAATTCAATGAGTCTTAGACTAGCTAAATCAAACGCCAGAAGATCAATCACAGCAGTGTCGATCTTCTGTTTAGTGAATACATCGCCTTATTCCTCTCACTCCAGGGGAGTACTGGAATACATGGGAGTGCAATCAGCGGTTGATTTAGCAGGTCTTACCTCTGTGGGATCAATCTCCTGGAAGGTAAGTGTAGACAAGACTTTGGTCATTTAGATGTTATTTACTTAAGTACCCCTTCCTCCAAATTAAGGCTTCCATTTGGAGACTTTTGGGGGGGAGGGGGAAAGGAAATGTTACTACAAACCTGCTGTTTTATCTCCATATATAATTTTATTAAACACTATTAAAGGTTATCTTATGAAAATCTGCTTTAGATTCCAAATCATTAGGATTGAGTGTATATGAGCTGCTATAGTAGAAAGTGACAGGAATGGCTGGAGCCAGCCCTGAACACGTGGCACCATCTTAAGAAACCCACACCTGAGGCTGTTGTGTATTTCTTTAGCACTGAAAAATGCAACTTGAAGACATTTTCAGGGACTTGGAATCTAATGTCTGTCCTGTCCCCTCAGCACAATAAGGGGAGACAGAGGCTGGGCCCCAACTCCCTTCAGAAGGCCAGCCATCCTGCACCTTAAGTGAGTAGTCAGCCTACAGCCAGACAGAACTGCAAGGACATGGACAAAAAGATGACCAAGATCTGACCTTCAGTGAATACATCCGAGTCTACAAGAGCTTTCGGTGACTTGAATTCAACTCATTTCTATTTCAGTAAGCTGAATGCTAACAAAGAAGGCACAATCAGATTTTTTTTTAAAGTATAAACCCCCAATGAAATATTCTTTTAAAAAAAAGTCTCACCTTTGGATTATATTCTGCATTCCTGGCATGCAGAGCTATATTCTTCAGATCTAGTTTACAAGCCAAGTTGACAGTGGACACTATATTCCTGAAGAAATAAGAAAGCAACTACATGTTCAGAAAATCATAGATCAAAAGTGATTAAGAAAAGACTCAGTTCAAAATCAGGATGCATGTTACCTTCTATTACATTCCTGACCATTCAATTACTACTCCACAGTCATAACAACACAAATTTGGTGAAAGTCAATATATAGTCAGTCCATTGCCAAAGCTATCCCCATGTTAAGAAGTTATTAGTACTCTACTGCTGCAATCGCTAGGTTATTTTTTTCGCCAGCACCACAGCAGTATAGGCTGGTATGTCTAACCTGTATTACTAGAGCTAAAAACACTGACAGAGTTACTGTCGCACACCAACTACCCTCTGTAGATAGGAGGGTGGCTCACGGAGATGTCACCCTGACCTAGAGAGTCCAATAGGGCAGAACAGTCTGACTGCTGCAGAAGACAGGATTCTCTCTGTGCCTGCAGCTGTGCCCTTTCCTTCCCCCCCCCCCCAAACACTGGGATCAGACAAACTATCGCAGATCCATGTCCAGAGAGCACCAAAGCAGTTAGACTCAATGGGGTTCTTACCAACCAGCTGATGGCCACACTATAGACTACAGGCAGTCCCCGGGTTACATGGATCCGACTTACATCGGATCCCTACTTACAAACGGGATGAGACAACCCCACACTAGCTGCTTCTCCCCAGCAGACCAGGGAGACGCGAAGCTAGCACCCCCCCCCCCCGCAGACCAGGGAGACGCGGAGCGGCTTTTTTCAGCAGACACCTCAGCTTGAGAATAAAGGACTGAGGGAAGTGAGGTGTGGGAGAATAAAACTGAGCTCTGGAGAAATGTTTGTCTAGAGTTTCCCCTACAATATGTACCAGTTCCGACTTACAAACAAATTCAACTTAAGAACAAACCTACAGTCCCTATCTTGTACATAACCCGGGGACTGCCTGTACTATGGTGATAATAGGCACTGACTTTCAGTATTCCTTCTAATATTTTCCATTCGTGAGCAGAACAATTTTTTTTATGTACACCTGGGCATGTGCAGATGTGCACCACCAACAGAAACAGCCCACAGCACGTGCGGCAGTGGGTGCTCTGCTAATCAGCTGGGCAGCACCCGAATCTCTCCTGGGTGGCAGCCTAAGTGCTCAGCTTACAGGGAACACTGCTGACCATCCGTCTGTTTAAAGAATCCTCCTTTGAGGATTGTTACTTTGGCCCCTGAAGTTGAGTACATGGTAGTGGTTGAGGGCCCCTGGAAGTTTAAGATTAAACTCTTGCAAGGAGTTTGCACACCTAGGGTTGCCAGGAGCCCGGTTCTGAACCGGGCAGTCCGGTATTTGAGCTTTCGGTCTGTGAAACAAATAGAAAAAATACTGGACATTTATATTTCCTAATTAAGTAAGTTGTATTATCATCATGAGTATCAGTACGTAGTTGCGGACTGCCTGTCTGGCTGACACTCACACCAGCCAGGCAGTATGCAGCTACGCAGTAGAGAGGAGGGGGGCAGGGTCTGAGCGAGATGGAATCCCTAGGTCCAGACTCGCCAGTGTACCCCGCCGGGACTGTGCGCAGGACGGGCAGCACCCCGGGATCGGCATGCGCCCGGGTCAGCCCCACTCCCCACCAGCCAGTTTCCCCCACAGCCAGCCTCCCTCCCCCCCCGGCCAGTTCCCCCTGGTCAGCCCTGCTTCCCACCTGCTGGCCCCTTCCCCGCTGCCCCGATAAGCCCCACTCCCCCCAACCCCCTCCTGACCAGCCCTGCTCCCCTCCCGGGCGACTCTCCCCCTCCCCCATGTTCTGAGATCATGTGTGTGCAGTATTTTTTTGAAAGCCATCTGGTAACCCTATGCACACCAGACAAAGGCTGCAGCTCCTTCAGAGGTAGGAGTTACGCACAGCACATGCAGTTAAGTTGCTTGAGCCAAGAACACGCTTGCACGGAGACCAGTCTTCTCTTTAGCCTAGAGAAAATTTCACTGCTGAAGCATGCACCACACTGGACCTTCCTATATTTCTCCATTTTAGTCTTCATCCCATCACATACATGATCTGAAGTCTCTCTCCCCACCTTTAGAAGATTAAGTTTACTTACTGTAACTGAGGAACAATGCCAGAGCTTTCAGAAACAGGTGTCATTGGGGTAATAGGGGTCATGGGTGTCAAAGGGGGACAGGCCCCAGATGTTTCATGTGAGGGCTCAGTAGCATCCGCATAGCTCAGTTGTGACAAATTGCTGTCATTTAAGAATCCACTGTCCTGCTCCGTCGACTGTGACTGGTATTGCTCTCTTGGCATTTCACGACCATCTTCCAAATGAGTCTGCTCTCCATGATCTTGGTTAAGATCATCTGGAAGAAAGCTGAGATCCACAGAGGAAAAGTCTGTAGAAAGTTCTTTGGATTGGTCAAGATGAGAACCAAATGATGCACTTGGCGCTGCTTGAATCGGTAGGTCCGTGTCAAAAGGGCTCATGGGGGTGTAGAGTTGAGGACCAGCTGATGAAAGGTCATCCTTCATTTAAAAAGAAAATAGGGTGTTTTAGAGGACAAGATCCCATTTACTTTAAATGACCGTGCTTGAGAAATGGAATGTTCTTCATTGAATGGAAAAAGGCAGAAAATATTGCTCCCCGTGACTATCATAGCTAGCACTTTCAAGTTAAAATGTGTAAGTTTGTCAAAAAAAAAGTGTTTTATGGGCTCATACTTCAGCGACTTTTCTCCCTCTCATCTCGTTAATGTCAGTTTGTAAGATATAGAGGATTTGCACACTTTAAATCAAATTTCTCCCTCGTTGTAGACCTGGCCTAAGAGTTGCTTGTAATCAGCAGGGCCAGGAAATAATTTTTACAGGTGTGGAGCACCCCACCACATCACCAGCTGAAGGCAGTGGGGGCTACAGCTGCTCAGCACTTTAGGAGATCCAACATGTGCCACATCGGGCAAGCACCCACAAAAATTATTGGAAGAGAAATTCACTAAGACGTTCATCCTAGATTCCTCTCTCTCTGCTTTATTTAGACAGATGTTTAGCTGGGTTTAGGTCTATTAGAGCTGACCACCTTTTAAAAGAACAAATTCAGTGAAAATTGGTTTTAGACTGCATTGAAAATTGTGGAAAATTCCCACTTTGGTCAAACTGTACTGGTTTCTCCACAAACCTTTCCCAGTTTTTGATAACTTTTGGGGGGAAACCCAAGACATTTTTCAAAGTTTCTCCACAGGAAACAATAGACATTTTGTCAATTGACATTTTTTGACCAACTTTAGTCTGCATTCAATAATAATCTAGGAATCCATCTTGGTAGTTCAGGGAAAACCTACCAGCTGAACAGACAAGTGTGCTCTGTAGAACACAGTCAGTACCTGATAGACTGAAGTATGTGGCCAGTAGAGACTCTGACTGATTTAGGAGAAAGAAGATTTTTCCAGAGTTGCTTGAGTCCTTAACTCAATGTTTGTATTTTGGAAAATAAAATGAAAATGTCCATGCTTCATTTACATCATTGCACCGAGGTGAGGCCAGGAACAAGGGCTTAGATATGCAGGCGGCCAGGGGGAGAGAGGGCTCTACCAGCCCTCTCACCACAGCAACTTGGGGCTAGGTGAGAAACTCCTCTCCATGGCTGCTGCACCTCCAGTGGACACAGCAAGGGGAGGGGTGCATGTCCCCCAGCTGGGGCAGGTCCAGCTGTATTCTGCATTGCCCCGCCAGAGTGAGGAATGCAGCAAACTGTGCACTTTTCCCTCACAAGGGGGGGGGAGGAGGGGAACAGCCAGCCATGTTCCCATATGAATCGGGAGGAGCTTCACCCTCCCTAAAGGGCACCTGGTGGGTAGAAGGCTGAGGCAGTCCCAGATAGGTGGAAAGGATGAACCCCCAGCCAGCCCCTCTCGCCTGCCTGGTGATGGTCTCTTTTCTATATGGTTTTATGAGAAGCAATCCCATTCCAGGCACATCCCATTGTCCTGGCACAACCAAACATTCACCTTGCTGTAAGTTATGATCAGAAGAAGCTGTATACCAACTTTATAGACATGCCTAGATAGACATATGGCCCCCATGTCAAACCATCTTCTCAATATTTCACTGAAGGGGTTCATGTGTAGTTTCTGCTGAGAGATAAGAACTAGTTGTAGCCAGATACAAACCCCATCTTGTTCCCCCCCCACCCAGAGAGCAAGAGAAAGGCAGTCAGCCTTTGATGCCCTGGGAACGCAGGTGTGGTGCCTGTCCCTGACTCTACCATAAACAGAAACCAGACAGTAAATGGGCTAGCTGACGACCCGGGGCCTCCCGTCGCCCTGATGGCTAGTACCAGTAATTGACACGCCTGCACTGTCCCAGGAGAGGAATCTTCGCCCATCACATACCAGAGGTGCCCATTGTCTGCATTTTTCCCAGGTGTAAATTATGCTTTGCACCCTTCGTGGGAAACTTGGCGTTCAAAGCCATTTTTCCTAATTGGCCACTTGAGCCCAGGAAGAAGCCTACATGACCCAAGGGGTATAAAAAGAGGTTCAGCCGCCCACCCCATTTGAGCTCCAATCATCTATACCTGCTGGCAGGTATTGATTGTCTCCCGAGGTCTGTGGGACGCCCAACCTCGCCCTACTTCTTCCCGAGGGATTGAGAGAAAGACGCTGGCCACGCCAAGTCTGGAACGCAGGGGTGAGAATATATACCTGCTATGTGTCTATTTTGCATGCATTTAATAAGAGCTCAGAGAACCAAAGGGTTTCATGGTACCTGTAAGTGACTTATTAGTGTAATTTCTGTCCTGTCCTTTGTAGTGTCTGTGTTATCTGTAACACAGTAGTAGCATTTAACAACTAAGTTTACCCTGTAACAATAAATAGTAACTGTTTAAGCTTTAACCTGACTCCTTCAGTTGCTGTAACAGAACCAAGCACAATTTAAAAGAACTTCAGCCGGTCATAAGGGACTCACTGCCCTGACCGTCAGCTGACAGGTAGTCCTAGCTCTGACCGTTTAAGAGGGGTTCTTAACAGACTCTCAAATATGTAGTAGATAAATGCCTTCATACTTCCATAACTAACATTCTTTTTTAAATAAAGTGGTAAAGGTTTACAGTGAATCCGAACCACAAGCTGAAGTTCTAGCTGTTCTCTACCACCATTTCTTTGGCTTCATATCAGAAAACGTGAAATGCCTTATATCAAGAAAGGCAACAGTCTGGGGAGGAAGACACAAATGAGCCCCAAGAAAGTTCGATAGAAAACCCTTCTCTCAACCCAGTTATCCCTCTGGACTAGCTTATGTAGTAGTTTGGACTTATTTAAGTCTACAGAAGAGTGAGGGGAGATTTGATAGCAGCCTTCAACTACCTGAAAGGGGTTCTAGAGAGGATGGAGAGAAGCTGTTCTTGGTGGGGACAGACGACAGAACGAGGAGCAATGGTCTCAAGTTGAAGTGGGAGAGGTCTAGGTGGGATATTAGTAACAACTATTTCCCTAGGTGGAAGCACTGGAACGGGTTACCAGGGAGATGGTGGAATCTCCATCCCTAGAGGTTTAAGTGCCAGCTTCACAAAGCCCTGCCTGGGATAGTTTAGTTGGGATTGATCCCGCTTTTAGCAGGGGGTTGGACTCAATGACATCCTGAGCTCTCTTCCAACCCTAGGATTCTAGTTAATTAACAAGCTGCTGCTTGTTGGGCAGGAGAAAGCAACACATTTATCATAAGATACTTATTCTTTCCTTCCCTGCAGAGCGCGTGGGAGAAATTTAACACACCCCGCACTGTACTGGTGAATCAACGCTGACTCCTTCAGAATAAAGTCCATCAATTTGAGGCCTAGTCAGAACAGACAACATGGTGGAATGCAAGAGCCAAAGAGAAGGAATAAGAAGCTTAAAAAAAAAGGGAGGGAGACAGAAAATAATGGGGTAAAATAAATCAAGGAGAAGAGTAATTTCACACAAAACACATTAAATACTGTAGAGAACTGTCCTGGGGCAGAAGCAGGGAACCAGACTAAAAGCACAGGTGAAGAGGGAAAAGCAGCACAAGACAAGTTTTACACGGGACTAGCTGCCAAGTGTTACCTAATGTACTCTAGGTTAGCTGACTTGATTGATGATCGTCTCTGCCATCAGCTATGTAAGCTTGGAGCGTTTCCCATTGCCTCACTGAAGAAATGATAGCTTGGCAGGCACCCTACCCATCTGAAAGGTCACTACAATATAAGGCAACTCACTGGCAGAGGAGTGATACTGTCCGTTTACAGTGTGATTGGGATAAAACTGATTTAGACACCAGATATGATTTGTGAGGAGTTAGCCACACAACACCCAAAACAGTTGCTACAGATGGAACCTCTCTAGTCTGGCACCCTCAGGACCTGACTAGTTCCAAACGAGAATTTTCTGGACCACGGGAGGTCATTATTGTCTAGCAGCATTATCAACACTGCCACTGCTTACTGGGCTGTTCGAGAACATTTAGGGGTGAATTAGAGCTAAACAACAGCACAGAACACTGACAGCTAGGACAGGGGGCTGTAAACAAACTTTTTGAGACCACAGGAAACTTGGCCACACCCATAAAAAGTGGGCATCCAGTTAAGTAAAATAATTCCAGATGGATATTACCAGACAAGGGAGTTCTGGATTAGGGATGCATATGCCTTTTGGGTAGTCAAGTAATGACTGACTAGTTGCTTCCCCTCCTCCCCTGCTGCCTCTATCAGAGAGAGGCAGCAAGGGAGGGGAGCAGAAGCCAGTGCTGGGGGGAGCCAGCTCAAAAGCCAGTTCCTCCCAGCAGCATCTGGGCAGCAAAAGAGGCAAAGGCATAGCAGGGGACCAACATGAGCCGCTAACGAGCGGATTCCAGGCTCACACCCGGTCCCAGACGCTACGTGTGTCTGCTTTTTAAATGCATTCAGAGCCTGGAAGCTCTTAATACAGTGGTCTCCAACCTTTTTAAGCACAAGATCACTCTCTGAATGTAAGTGCAATCCAAGATCTCCCTCAAACCCAAATACACTTGCCCGCGCCCTTCTTGCACCTTCTCCGAGGCTCTGCCACTGCTCAGTCCATCTTCCCTTGCTCCTTCCCCCTCCTTTCCTTTCACCAGGCAGGAGCAGAGGGTTGGGACACAGACTCTGGTCTTGGGCTAAGGGATTTGGAGTATGAGAGGGGCTCTGAGCTGAGCCTGGGACAGGGATTTGGGGGGCAGGAGGGGTTGAGTACAGGCTCTGTAAGGGAGTTTGGATCCAAGGGGCTCAGGGTGCAGGAGGGGGTTCATGACTGGGGCAGGAGTGAGGGATTCTGGCTCCAGCTGGACACTGCTGACCTCAGGTGGTGGTGCAGTGGGGCTAATGCAGGCTCACCTCTACTCTGGCCCTGCAACACTCTCAAGGCAGCTAGCAAACTCCCTCCATCCCAAGCGCCATGCCCCCATCTGTGGGGGGGGGGTAGCTCCATGGCAAAGGGCAGGAGTTGCGTAGCAATGGGGGAAGGGGCAG